AGGGTCCCCCATCACAGTCCACTGAGGGCCCACCCTGCAGGGACCTGCCACTAGCCACTGTGGGGACACAGCACCCTGGGGGACTTGAGGGCTGGGGACCTACTTGCTGCTGGCCATGGGTTCCCCACTGCAGCCGCCCCATGGGATGGGGTATTCAGTGGTGGGGACTCCAACTCACGGAGTTCCAGGCTCAAAGGATCTTGGGAGATTCAACCAGTCCTCCGGGTCCATGTCTACCCCCAGCCCCCACATCCCCATGGCAACCCCCAGCCCTTGCCCCATGATAGGTCGCCTGGTGTAGTGTCATCCTTTTGAGGGTGTTCTGGGGAGGCCACCCTCATCCTCCAGCTGTCTCCCCCATTTACAGGCCAGGTACCTTGCCTTTCAGCTCAAATCCTGACAGCCCGGTGAGAGGTGAGTGCTGCGGTTACACCATGTCACCTGCGGGGGCGCTGAGGCTCAGAGGGCAGCTTGCTCGCCGGGGTCGCCCCCGGAGGAGGTGGTAGAGCTGGCATTTGAACCTGGGCCTGCCTCGGTCCAGAGCCAAGCTTCCGTCCCCTTCTTTTCCAGCCCAGGCATCTCCCACTTCTGCACCAATTGAGGACCCAAACCCCGATCATGAAATCACACATTCCAAGAGAAAGGGAGGCACCCCCTCCATTCACCACCCTGCCGCCCACCCTCCCCTCCCTTCACTCAACAAGTGCTCAGTGAGCACCTGCCGTGTGCCAGGCACCACATGTCCAGGGACCCGCAGCCTGACCTGGTGGCTCTGGGAGAGAGAATCGCTGCCCCCGTCCACCCTGGCACAGTGGGCTGGGGTTCTGGGCTCGCGCACCCTATGTTCAATCCTAACTTGCCGCCCAGCTGTGTGACTCTGGCCCCAGGGTGACCAACTGTCCCAGTTTGCCCAGGACTGAGGGCTTTTCCAGGTGTGGGACTTCAGTGCTAAAACCAGGAAAGTCCTGGGCAAATGGGGCGAGCCGTTCCTGTCTCCAGCCCTCAGCAGCCTTTTCCATAAAACGGGCATCTTTTCCCAGAGGGGCATGAGGACCCTGAGGGCTCACACCAGTGAAGGCATACAGCTG